AAAACAGCAGCTTTTTTGGAAACGGCGGGCGCTCTCTCCTGTCTTTCAGGGGGGAATCTCCGCGAAGCTGAAGCTGTCTTTAATCATTCATAGGAAATTACCGCAGAGGCAATTAGAAGCCGCTGAATCATTCATGGAACACGCAACAGGACAAGAGTTCCGTACCTCCAGCCACTTTTTCGACAGATTGGTTTTCAGATGCGCCCCACGCGCGAGCTTTAGAAAGCAATTACTCTGTGTCGCTGATGCAGAACAGCTGTGCAGGGTTTAGACAGGGGGAGTATGTGGAAAGCACACAGTCACAAATACAAGAACATGCGCAGACAGTCAGAGAGACAGGCAGGTACACACACACACACACACACACACACACACACACACACACACACACACACACACATCCAACGCTAGGGCTGGATCTTTGATATTCATAACCATCCAGTTCTGGGTTTTTTGGAGTGTCTGTATTGGGGTCACACTGAGCCCTGCCCTGGGAGGCAATGAGGCAGTGAGAGAAGAGGGCTGGGTACCATCTAGGCGAGTTTGAGCGAGGCACCATCTCCGCTTCAGCTGCATCCCTGCATCCAGTGCTCTGGTCGCCGTGGTGACTGTGAGAGCAATAAAACTGTCAAAACCCTGCTCTCGCCCTCTCGCGCACTCGGGCGAGAACAGACAAGTGTGACCGTCCCAACCAAATGACTCACAAGGCCAGCTAACGGGTCTGCCGTCCAAGGAAATTGTTTTTCTGGCCTCGGGGCACAGAGGCCCCTGCCAGTGCGGCTCTACACTAAAGCAAGCGGACCTGCAGGTGCGGGGAGAGATACCACAGGCTGATGCACGAGGACCCTCACCTGCACAATGCCCTGTGACACGCGCACACCTGTTCACACTATCAGCGGATACCTGTGCTCTCACCTGGCATGATATGAAAGTCCAAGGACAGCTGCAGCACATTAATGTACTGGCATGGCAACAGGTGCTTGCAAGCCCTGTTTGTCTTTTTAATCCATTAAGACATCTAGAAATAGGCTAGATATTACTCTCCACATGTATAGATCACCTCTTTAACTTAAGGTTTTCCAGTTTTTTTGTGATAGTTGTGGGTTGGAATATTCCCACAATGCACCACAAAAATATACTCACATAAATGTAATGTCAAGTCTGCGGATGTGCTTTATATATATAGTGACCATTATAAAACTTGGTATTAATATTTAATGTATGATATGAGGCTGCCTTAAGACTCAAACTGCAAAGACAATGACATTCTTTTCTGTGCTCTTCCCTCATATCTCTTTTTCGACAACCTCAGTCCCGATACACTCCAAACATTAAAGCCCTAGTTCAATGTGCATTTTTAGCTTTCTGAGTGAAATGCATGCCTTTTGTGACTCAGAATATAAACCATACAGCGCACCGCACTTGACTGGATCTCTACGATGGGCCTCAAATCTGTGAAAATCTCACAAGTTCAGGAAAAAACATCTCCGGAGGGGAAAACACTCACGCACGCATGCATGCACAGCATTCTGATAGACCTTATCATCGTAATCTTTTGTCTACAGGAAGAACAAGAGCCTATAATATGTATGTTTTCTCTTTTTTTTTCTAACAAGTGACAAGGTAATTACAGAACACAGCAAGACTTCACTTACAGAGGCGGGCATAACCTTGATATCATCATTCCCAATCACAAACTGCTCCAAGGAACCCTTTTTTTCCTGACCAAATTATGCTTACTCATAGAATAGAGCAGCTCTGGCTCTAAAAAAAAAAAAAAAAACTATTGGTGGAATGTGGAGTTTAAGTATCTGGCCTGGGATGTCAGAATGAAAAATATCCAAAGTGCAATTAATGTACTTAAACACTGAGAGGGCTCAGTGCTCTCTCTCTCTCTCTCTCTCTCTCTCTCTCTCTCTCTCTCTCTCTCTCTCAGCAGATGACAGGAGCAGGAGGGGATTTACGCCTATCGATTTCTGAGCGGTTCAAGCACAGGTCAGCCCCGAGACTCTGGCAGCACCTGAGGAAATCAGATGAAGGGGAGATTTGTCGCGGGAGGCCGACGGGACGGGGGCGATCCCGCTTACGGTGGCTCTGAGAGGGAGCAGGTGCCCACTGTGCATTGGGGTCTCTGTGCAGGCTGTGGTGCTTTGCTGCTGTGACAGTTTGTCACTAGTGTGGGCCAGTGAGGGGCAGGTGTGTGGCTACATGTGAAACAGTGCAGGGAACGCCTTCACCGCAGAATAACTCTGTGAGGAAATCAATGTTATAATGTCAGTTTTGTCTGAATTTCTGTTTCCCAGCTCATTTCCCTCTGCAAAATACCAGTAAAATTCTGTAAAGGCTGCAATTTCAGCATTTTTTTAGTTAAAGTCACAGCCAAAATGTGCGCAATACAGAAACATATAAATATGCAGTGAGTCACAAAAATATACGCATTAAAGCAATTCATGTCATCAGTGCTCAATCTTTAAAATTATTATGATGCAATTTCTACTAAACAATTACACATAGGTATTACTGTGTGCCTACGTATTAACTACTGCGTAATTACACATATATAACTACCACAATATGTAACTGCAGAAGTCCTATGTAACTGGGTGTGTACACAGTATGTACACCACACCTAAATACACAAGTATTCAGACCATTTATTGTAAACTGGGACAAAAAAACACACAAAAAAAACTGAGAACAACAAGACCTCATCACCATGTTCTGTCTTGAAACCGCTCATCGTAACCAAAAGACGAACATGTCACCACCTGCTCTGCCTTGTCATCCACATGAATTTTAATGCAGGGAACGTCTCGCAGCAACCTCTTCCATCAGCAGGTCCTGCCCCATCCACATTCTGCCTGTAATTAATTTTTCCCCTGGTGCCTCGGAGGGGGTCAAAAAAAAAAAAAAACCCAGCAATCAGATCGATCTCCGGCCTGAATGATGGAGTGTGAGAGAAAGGCCGGCTGGCGGAAGGTTAGCTCTGACATGACTCTGAAATGACTTGACCTTTTCTCTCTCTGTGTGCTCCTTCCTACCCCTGCTGCACACGAACGCGAATATGACCACTCCTCTGACGACCGTTCCCTCTCCAGCCGGTCTGCTTTTGCAGCTAAACCGAGCGGTTGAATCAACCGTCAGAAGGCTGGAACCAAAACCAAAAGACACCTTGCTCAGAACCTAGATTATGGTAGGCATTTTTTTTTTATCAGACTGCTGGTGGAAGTAACCTCGTGGCCTCTTCTTCCCCAGCAATTAAATGTCTGCACTTTTGACTGACGGAGAGCCAATTGCATCTGTCCATCAAAATAATGATGACAATGAGTAGGAGAGGGACTCACTAAAGAGACTGTTGACAATTTCAGAAACAGAAATAACAGCAATTTGGTCAATCCAAGTTCCAATTTAAAATCAATTTGAGCTTTACATCAAATTAGAGAGACCCCATTGAGCACTTAGTGAGTGACAAATAAAAAAATGAATATTGTGCTAAATTCAAAATTAAAGCCTTTCTACTAGGAAGGAATCATTACTGAGAATTTCATGAAAAATGATGGTCGATACTTGGGAGTACCAAACCAAACAAGGAACCAAATTAGGCACAGGTAATGCAATTGCGCCCCGACAATTGGCCTTAGAATTAGCACTGTAATGAGGTGGGTCGGTAATTGGCAGAAAATTATGTAGCGGGAGACTCTGGAACGCAGCAGAACTGATCCAGAGTCTGCTCAGAGAGCAGCCCCTCAACAACCACGACAAACGAATCATGCTGTTGCGGTCAACTAAATCAAGCCTTATAATTGTATCACAGAGTTGCCTGGCAGATGTTCCAATCCAGGAAGACTCTAGGCAATATCACGGCTTAAGTATACTCCATGACTCATCTGCACAGTCTTCCTCCGGCACGTTCAGATCACTCTGGATACGCCACAGTGTAACACAACAGCATCTCATCTGAGATTTGAACCCACTAACCCCCAGCATGGAGTACAGCACCGATACACGTCTCCACAGAAGATGGTGAGAGCGCTGTTATTATGGATGCAGCTGCTGTCCACGGCGTCGCCATAAAACACGTTCTGTAATCTCAGAAGCGTGATTTAGAACTAGGCTGGATCATTGCCATTCTGCTTTGCAAAAGCTTCCATGAGGAATCGCAATGAGTCGAGGGACTTCAGTTGTGAAAACAGAGGACCTCACGTAAACAAGAGGCTTCTCATGTATGTGATGCAGTTAAATCTCTGAAATTATGGAGGGAATCCCAAATGGTGCATATGAAAAGTTCAGACCAGAGCCAGGCACGGCCAATCTGATAAGAAGCAAGCACCAATACCGTGGCGATGCTTAAGTCTCAGAGGCTGTTGTGCTGTACTCAAGGGAATAGATGCTGAAAAACACCATAGTATGAGGGCAATTTGTGTCAATTAACCTAATTATCCGGAGGGTGTCTGTGAAAATCAAATGAACCATCTTGTCTAGTGAAAAGCGAGAATTGAGGGATGATGACTGCTTATGAGATATATTGAATCCATATCTCACGCTAATAAAGTAGGTGGCTTGTGTCATGGGAAAGGTACCCTCGTTGAAAAAAAACAACGAAATTAAAATTACAAACTGTTTAGAGAACAACAGTGAGAAAGCAAATGTAATTACTACTTCATTTGTATTCTAATTGACTCAAATTTGGTGCTTCACTCTGGAGGAAACCGTTGAAAGAAAAAAAGTTTAATTCCTGTGTTTCTGCTGTACTGTAAAAATATGCATATGTTCTCTAGCAAACAATCACCGCCTCTGGTGTCAGACTGTATGGCCATGGGGAGAACAGGAAGGTTTTGTGACACTCACCATTGTCACAATTAAAAACAAAGCCACCTGGAAGAGGTGTGTGCAAATACGAATGCACAGCAAACAGTTCAGCCTTTTACACAGCTTCACTGAGTGTCTATGTATGGGGAGAGGCATTATTTAGCGCTAGCAGCTAAATCTAGCACTACTTAGTGCTCCTATGACTTAATTGGTACAGCATGGAACTAGAAATGCCACGGTTGTGGGTTTGATTCCCAGGGAACACACATAATAACTAAATGTACACCTCCAATGTACCGTAAGTTGCTTTGGATAAAAGTATCTGCTGAATGAATAACTGTAACTGTCCCAATCCTTTAAAAACACTGTGCTGTACAGTGCATACGAAGTACCCAATCTTATGTTAACAGGAAGCTCAGCCCCCAATGATGCGCTCTGGTGAAGCGCAGCTCAGCCAGCACATGAGGAAATGAAATGTAGTGTAACTCCGCCCGCTCATCTGTGTGCGCTTACCTGTGTGAACACCTCTCCCCCATAGCTGAAGCATGGTCTGGCTCTCCCAGCCCAGCTGAAAGGATAGAGTGGTACAAGAAAGCCAGAGGAAATGACGTAATTAGCCTCCTCTTTCAAACCGCCGGACAGGAAGTGGGGGAAAAAATCATTAAGTGAAGTAGTAACTTCATTCCAGTAACTTTTCCAGAAAGGTCTTTTTTTGTCAAAAGATAACAGCAAGTTTTTATCCTCATTCCATGAGAATGAAACAAGGGAAAGATACAGCATCCAATTAATCCTTGCGTTTGAGGCTCTGCAGTTACTGACTGTAAGCATCAGTTCAAAATAGCGTAAAGATGAGGGGTACACTGTAATCAGGATCTTTGTTTCATACAGTCTCTGCATTAAATGCATAAACATAAATAAACATTACATTAACTGCAGGCTGAGAACCCTCCTGCTTTAAAGCTTTGGGGGCTTTGAATTACCTTGAAAGTTCAAACTCTGTACAAAACAGATAGCAAGCCTTGCCGAGCTGCAGAAGCCCTTCTGTAGATGAAAATCACAGAGCCCTTCTGCAGCATCGCAGGCATGTTCCTAAATGTCATAACAGTAATTCTCTCTGTCGTTTGTATCCCACATCCCAGCGAAGGGGAGCGAAATGTCCTTGCGGGATTGACCTCATTTATTTTGCTCGGCTTTGATCAGACATTAGGTATTTCAGAGTCGTGTCCACGAGCCAATGTCCACAAGGTAATAGCCTCTATATATCACAGTATTGCGCCACAGCGGAGCAGAAAAGAGGTCAAACACCCACTGCACCAAAGACACAGGGAATCCAGTCACCTTGCTGAAACCACACTCATGCAACTGCAATGGGTCATACACCTCTTGTTTAAGTCTACAACTGCATAATTATGGAACGCAATTTCATATATGCACCATTAATAACCATCCCTCCACTCCAGAGTGTACTGTAATTTTTTAAGAAAAATAGAGTACTCTTGTCTTAGGTATTGATTACTGTTTTTGCAATCGATTTGATTGAGTATTCTTACCGTAATCAAGGACTTGGCTGCATAAGCAGTGCCTAACCTGATTAGTCAGATAGGTGACTGGACACAGCATATGAGATGGACAAGCTGTGTAAATCGCAAGAAATAAAAAATGCAGAAGTGAACCGACATGCCCTGCTTATGGAGAGAGCTATGCCTTCACTACAGTGGAGGCTGCGCTATGTCAGTGCACTGTCATTTGCCATCTGGGGTGGTAACAGCCGGCCGTTCCTAACCCAGCAAGACACCACCGCCAAACACAGTCCATCAACGAAGGGCCGTGACCTTGGAGACCTCAAGTCACAACACCGTGCCAAGGTCGAGGCTTCATCACGCTTCATCTGAGTGATCGTTCCCACGCCGACAGCATCTCTTCATCAGGACCAGCAAGTGGTAAAAAAGCAGCGCATCAGCATTTCCACTCGGAGAACACAGGAGTCACACTTTTCCCGTCTGCAGGCCAGGAGATGCGATGTAGAATGCCTTCACATCCTGAATCCAAATCTGTATTTTCTTTAACCAAGCATTTTATTTGGAATAAGATTGAGTTTGTACAGGCACAACTCAATTATTCTGATATATGAAAAAGGAAAAGAAAATGTGTTCAATCATGTATTATTTGTTGTCTTCCTATCAGAGCTATTTATTGTTTCATGATAATTTGTGTTGTGAGCTCCATTTTGTGAAGCATATCATATTGTGGGCTGAGCGTATCGTCTCATGCCTAATAGTCAGACATGAATGATCAATTAATTACAAAAGACACCAAAAACATTTCATCAGCAATCCCAAATCTGTACACTTTACATTTTTTTCCTAAATCTTCTTGTGCACAAAGAATGGCATGATTCATCTGATGCTCCATTAACTAAGGAGCCACTGTCTATCAAACCCTCTTCATGGTCTAATGTACTTAGGTGATACATAGAAGCCCTGAGAGTATGAAAGGGCATTTTGACAGTTAAAGATTTCAGCACTAGAGCAGCAGGTGAGGAACCTGTCAGTCAGACACAGCAGGTACCATGCACCTGCGCAGCAGCTTAGCCAGGTATGAAACCTGCCACGGAATCCTGCCAAGAGAGGCATCTGTCTTGCAGGAGATTCATAAAATGAATAAAAAAACATCCTAAAAATAAAAAGTATATCTACAGGTGAATGATTCAGCAGTTTGCGAGGCACTCAGTGTGATACTGTTATGGTCGTATGCTTGAGTAGGTCTGAGACTGCAAAATAAAATCTGAAATTCGGCTCCTTTACTGGCACCACTACCTCACTCTCCATTTTGATTTAGTCCTGAATATTCGCACTGTCATGTCTTGCGTTTGCCTCCCCTGAGATTCTCTCTTCGGTGTAACATCGCCGAGAGCAATGTAGACAAATTCTCCTGACGCAAACACAACTTGTCCTGCCAGCGAGACAGCAGACAGTCTTATTCACGGGAAATAAAATTACTGGAAAGGTCAGAGCTGCCAGTCAGAGAACACAACAGGCCTGCAGATACTGCTGGACGGTCAATGAAGCCTCACCAGATGGCCTTTAGATGATGCAGTGTCTGTAACAGCCAATCGGAAACATGGAATCCAGTCAATAGACTCTTAGCCCACAGCAGTGTGAATAAACAGTGTCACACACTCTGGAAACAGCCATCACAATGATATCATGTACAGTAGCTCACACTCTCACAGACAACCAGATGTTCTGTCACAATGACTCCCAGAGCAGTGAGGAAAACTGTTTTAAGTGGGTAGGAGAAAAATCTGAAGCTTCCCCAGTTATAAAAAAAACAAACAGCCAAAAAAAATCAGGTCTACAGTGCATTTGCCAACTTAGTGGACAGTGTACTGTATAGAACATATATTTTTTGGGTTTGAAAATTATTATTTTTTATATATGTGTGATTTTTAAAAAAGTAGAAGAATAAAATATAGAAATATGATTTTTTAACAGTCCCTGTATAGCCTGTAAAATAGTACCATATTTCTGCTTAAAATGCTCCGTGTCATTAAATGTCATAAAATTAAAAACCTTCAGTCTTCTCTCTGTCGCTTTGAGTCTCTAAGCAATTCAATGTGCCCTCCCCACATGTGGCAAATCACAGAGGTGTTGATTGCCTTCACCAAGGTTTGTTTTTCACAGAGCTTTCTATTTTTACCTGTCGTGTTCAATCAGACCTTACATCGGTTTCCTGAAACCAGCTCCATGTTCTGCCCGCTCTGGGAAAAAGCCCTGACACGAACCGGCCTCAAAACAACAGAAGCTCTGAGCAGCCACAGACGCCAAAACTGCTCATCTGGTGAACAGACCGGTGACATGGATAGATGTGAAGTAAAAGTGGGTATTTAGAAGACATGACAGTGCCGCTGGATTCAGGTGCTGAGGCAATGACACATGACCGCCAATGCAAGAACACCTGTGAATCCTCACAGAATCCCGTTGTGTTGCAGGTGAAATCTCCTGAAGTATCTTGATACTCTACTACTTGATGTCTGTGATCAAGCGCAGAATGCAGGATGTCACAGCAAGACATCACAAGATGTGCTGTGATGGACCAAAACAGAATTTGGTGTAACATAGTTACTGCAAAGTAATTATTAAAATAAATTATAGAAAAGTCTGGAGAGAATTTCATATTATAAACCACATTGCTCACAGCCCCCCCCAAGAAATGACACTAGATAGTAAAGTTCGCCGGCATAACTATTTGAAGCAAACTGCCATTTTGCGTATTTTTTACAACATTATAAAGGCGTGATACTGGGTAGGATGTACATGTGGTAGGGGGTGGGTATGGGATTACACAGGCTGTGTCAGGGTTTCTGACTTATCTCTCGCGTACTCAGGAATCACCTTACTGCTCTATTACCACATATTGCTCTAATACTAATATACAGATGCATGCTGGGACTGTTTCTTCATTATCAGCACTATTCAGACCATATCCTCCATATGAATGGGGTCTGCTCTCGCTGGGGACTCATCCACTCACTCATTCGCTCAGTCACTCTGACACGATTACTCACTCATTCCCCCATTTACTCACTCACCCTCTGACCCACCCTCTCATTGACCTGCTCACCAGCTGACTTCACTCATTCACTCGCTCACTCCTTCATTAATTCACCGAAGCCTGGATCACATCAGCGGACTCCGCATGAGGTGCCTTTTTTTAATTAAATCCATGAGAGCGCAGCAGGTATCTGCTTCCACATTCTCATCCGTTGCCGTGGTGAAACAATGCCCTGTTTCCTGTGCGGAGGCAAGGCCGCGTCTGGGCTGGAGGAGGTGCAGGAGTCACCTGCTTCTCGCCAGCCAAAGGAGGGGTACGGGGAGATTCCATTTCATTACATTACATGCATTTAGCAGACACTCTTATCCGGCTTCCAGCACAAAAGAATATAAATGTATCCATTCAAGTTAAATGGGCAACAGGGGAGCCCAGTGTAGCATAGTGGTAAGGAGCAGGACTCGCAACTGAAAGTTTGCCGGTTTGATTCCCTGCTGGGGCACTGCTGCTGTGGGTACTTAACCCACAATTGCCTCAGTAAAATGTAATTCACTCTGCTTATGTGGCTCTGCCAATAATGTAATGTAATGTGTAACAGTAACAGTGTCACACCAGGCTAACAACACTCCCAGACCAGTGAGTATGAGCATAACACTGTTCAAGCCCGACCACAAGTTAACTTGTGCAATCTGACTGGGCAACAGTGGCCCAGTAT